TGGTTGATATTTTGTGGAAAATATTTCAAACGGATGAACCGGAAAGTTTCGAACTTATGTTAAGAGCTCAACTCATGCTGTTCCGCGTTTACGAAGGTAGACAGAAAATCGATCAGCAATACCCGAAGAAAATAGCTTATTATTTTTATAAAATCCTGAACCATCCTCTCTATGCCGACTTAGACAATGCGCTTAAAGTGAGATTAAGTAGCGCAATTGCTAGATCATCGAATGATTATAAAACTCTATTATTCCAACCGGTTTTTTGTCTAATGAATGTTGCATACGAAGAATACATGTACACGGCTATTCAAGCAAAACTTGATTCGGAAAACCGTTTTATATGGGTGTGGCACGAGAAGAAATACATTGATGATGCTGGTCATATTAAAGCTGAGATTATCGAGCCGTCAAATGGTAATGCGTTCGATTTTAAAGTCAAATTAATCGGAGTAAAATTCAATCTACCATATCATCGCTTGGACTATCATCAATTTGCTATAGGTGGTTGGCAAGGATACGGACAGCCCGAGAACTATGATTGGGATTTTCAATTTGCTGACGACGACTTAATTGTTTTCCAACAGGACGGTTTCACGATGTGCGTCGGTGATAATCAAGATACGGAGAGACGTAACGTGTATGGATTCATGGATAGCGAGCATACTGCTAAAGATGCTATTTGCCAATGGAAAATTGGAAGTTGCGATCGCCGATAAAAACTAAGAAAAAAATAGAATACTTTTTAATCCTTATAAAATTAACTTAACTGCTTTCGCTTGAAGTCTTTCTAAGCAACACATGTCATGATGACGTATCAACCTGTTCTATACAGATATCAAAGCATGAACACTTCAATATAATTAACATAATACGTATGCAGATATATGTGGACATTACATGAGTATTTTTATACTTAGTATATATTTACAACGTAATAACATTTTTTTTTACATTGAAATAAAGATGATATGAAAAATACGTAAAAATAATCGTGTTTTATTATTTAGAGTACTTTGGATGGAGTGATATATTTAAAGGTGTTATGATTATCAATAACAAATTTCTCTCACGCTACGCCGTATGAGAGCGCGCTTTTATCGTGCGATAAAAATTCTATCATAACTATTTCGCCAGTTTACGATGCGATAAAAAGACTTTCATTGAATATTTGAGGACTAAAATAGAGATCTAGTGTTGAAAGTTAAGCTGATTAAGTATTGAAAAACGATTTAATTGATATAAACGCTTAACCAAGCTACTAGAGGTGTAAATGAAGCATTTATTAAGAAGTTTTTATTCGGAATTTACTTTGTATAGGACTATTTTTCGAAATCTTAAAATTAGGGAAAGTGTCTTTGTTGTTATTTTTCTACAGATTTTCATGTTATAAGAATTAAAAGATACTAGAAGTTTGGTCGCCTCATTACTTAAAAGATGTAATAATTTGTCTTAAGTTTTTTTATACTTTTGATTTGGTTCACTTTAGTTACGCCTACCTGTTCGAACGTCTGCGAAGTTCTCAAATACCCAAAAATTCTATTTAATTTTTACACGGGTCAAAAGCACATGAAAGCAAAAACTGGCATTACAGATTCGTTATAAAACAATACGGATTGAGACAGAAAAGAAAGTGGACTCGATGAACAAATTTCACTGAAAATGATCTTCAGTCTTAGTATGCAGTGTAGTTTACACTATCAAACGCTCTTCTTCGCTCTCTCTAATTGTATTTGAGAAAAGTCGTTAACGCTAAGAATAAAAAAATTACTTACTTATAACTTACTGATAGTAAGATATTTTATTCATATTTACACCGAACTTGCAGTCAGAAGCAGTCATCATGAGAAGCATACGAGTCAATCACGCCTTTGTTACTTTCGTGGTTTGCATAAATCTTATACACTATACAGTCAGCGCGGATTGCAACGATCATTTACGAATATGTTACTCTAACCTATGGAGCGACATACGATACGAAAAGTCAGAAGATACCAACAACGCTATGGATTTTTATAACAAACTTCAAAGTGAGACACGGCATTTAAATCAATTGACTAATAATGTGCGCAGCTTTATCCAAGAGAAAAACGCTAAAATGTTGACCAAGTCTCTAACTGGCGAAGGTAATGAAATCAGTTCAGCAGTAAAAACTTTATC